TTCCCTCAAGTTCTATCGACCACCGATACAACTCTACGCATGCTTGACGTTCGCTTTACCAAGAACAAGTATGAAACTAGACGTACTTTGTAGGTGTTGTTGGATAGGTTTCCAAGATAATAAAGATTACGTAAATTAAAAGTAGGGGCTGTTTAGATAAAGACACAACTAAGTTAGTTTTAGTAAAGAGCTTTTTGTTACGAGAAAGTTATTTGTCCCTAGGCAATCGATAACTAGACCGGTAATCATTATTGTAATTTTATTTGAGGGAGAGGCATAAGCTAATATACTTTCTCTACTTGGATCATATGCACTTATGATTGAAACTCTAGCAAGCATCCGCAACTACTAAAGATCATTAAGGTAAAACCCAACCATAGCATTAAAGCATCAAGTCCTCTTTATCCCATACGCAACAACCCCCTTACTCGGGTTTGTGTTTCAGTCACTCACGCAACCCACTATAAGTGAATCATGAACGTATTGCAACACCCTACAGCGGGGATCCCTCACGCTTGCACGACATGGAGAGCACCATAGGACAACACCAATAATAAAACATGCAACTCAAACCAATCGCGGTCATCAAATAGCCCATAGGACAAAACGGATCTACTCAAACATCATAGGATAATCATACATCATTGGGAAATAATATATAAAGTTGAGCACCATGTTTAAGTAGAGATTACAGCGGGTAAGAGAGAGGTTACACCGCTGCATAGAGGGGGGAAGAGTTGGTGATGATGGCGGTGAAGTTGTTGGTGAAGATTGCGGTGATGATGATGGCCACGACAGCGTCCCGGCGCCACCGGAAGAGAAGGGGAAAGGGGGGCCCTTCTTCTTCTTCTTCCTTGACCTCCTCCCTAGATGGGAGAAGGGTTTCCCCTCCGAGATTGGATATGTCTCTCTGTCTCTCTCTGTTTCTGCGTTCTCAGATTCTACCCTTTCACCGTTTCTTATATTCCCGGAGATCCGTAACTCTGATTGGGCTGAAATTTTAACACAATCTCTATCCGGATATTAGATTTCTTGTGGCGAAAGAAGGGCATCAACCGCCTTACGGGGTGACCATGAGGGTCAGGGGCGCGCCTGCCCCCTGGGGCGCGCCCCCTGCCTCGTGGCCCCCTCGGGCATCGTCTCGCGTGGATTTTTCTTCCTAAAAATCACATATATTCCAGAAAATTCTCCGTTGGTTTTTATCCCGTTTGGACTCCGTTTGATATGGATTTACTGCGAAACAAAAAACATGCAACAAACAGGAACTGGCACTGGGCACTGGATCAATATGTTAGTCCCAAAAATAGTATAAAAAGTTGCCAAAAGTATATGAAAGTTGTAGAATATTGGCATGGAACAATAAAAAATTATAGATACGACGGAGACGTATCAGGCACACATCAGGTCTGGTACACAACATTGCATACATGATAGAACCTATGGCTGAGGCATAGGAAATGACTTTCATTTTTTTCTCTATCTTCTGAAGTGGTCGGGCATTGAGTCTGACTCAATTTCACACCTTGTAACACAGGCAAGAACCCTTTCTTTGACTGATCCATTTTGAACCTTTTCAAAACTTTATCAAGGTATGTGCTTTGTGAAAGTCCAATTAAGCGTCTTGATCTATCTCTATAGATCTTGATGCCCAATATATAAGTAGTTTCACTGAGGTCTTTTGTTGAAAAATTATTTTTCAAGTATCCTTTTATGCTATCCAAAAATTCTGTATTATTTTCAATCAACAATATGCCATCCACATATAATATTAGAAATGCTACAAAGCTCCCACTCACTTTCTTGTAAATACAGGCTTCTCCAAAAGCCTGTATAAAACCATATGCTTTGATGACACTAGCAAAACGTATATTCCAACTTCGAGAGGCTTGCACCAGTCCATAAATGGATCACTGGAGCTTGCACACTTTGTTAGCACCTTTAGGATCGATAAAACCTTCTGACTGCATCATATACAACTCATCTTTAAGATATCCATTAAGGAATGTAGTTTTGACATCAATTTGCCAAATTTCATAATCATAAAATGCGGCAATTGCTAACATGATTCGGACAGACTTAAGCATCACTATGGGTGATAAGGTCTCATCGTAGTCAACTCCTTGAACTTGTCGAAAACCTTTCGCAACCAGTCGAGCTTTGTAGACAGTAACATTACCGTCAGCGTCAGTCTTCTTCTTGAAGATCCATTTATTCTCTATTGCTTGCCGATCATCGGGCAAGTCAACCGAAGTCCACACTTTGTTCTCATACATGGATCCCATCTCAGATTTCATGGCCTCAAGCCATTTCACAGAATCTGGGCTCATCATCGCTTCCTCATAGTTTGTGGGTTCATTATGGTCTAGTAACATGACTTTCAGAACAGGATTACTGTTGGGGAACGTAGCAATTTAAAAAAACCCTATGCACACGCAAGATCATGGTGATGCATAACAACGAGAGGGTAGAGTATTGTCTACGTACCCTCATAGACCGTAAGCGGAAGCGTTATGACAACGCGGTTGATGTAGTCGTACGTCTTCACGATCGACCGATCCTAGCACCGAAGGTACGACACCTCCGCGATCTGCACACGTTCGGCTCGGTGACGTCCCACGAACTCACGATCCAGTAGAATGTCGGGGAAGAGCTTCATCAGCACGACGCCGTGATGACGGTGATGATGATGCTACCGGAACAGGGCTTCGCCTAAGCACCGCTACTATATGACCGAGGTGGATTATGGTGGAGGGGGGCACTGCACACGGCTAAAAGATCAATGATCAACTTGTGTGTCTATGGGGTGCCCCCCTCCCCCGTATATAAAGGAGTGGAGGGGGGAGGGGGTCGGCCTCCTAGGCGCCCCCCAAGGGGAGTCCTAGTCCCACCGGGAGTAGGATTCCCCCCCCCCTTCCCTAGTTGGATTAGGAGAGAAGGAAGGGGGGAAGGAGGAAGGAAAGGGGGGCGGCCCCCCTCCCAATTCGGATTGGGCTTAGGGGGCACGCCCCCTCCTTTGCTCCCTTCTCCTCTCTCCCACTATGGCCCAATAAGGCTCATATACCTCCCGGGGGGTTCCGGTAACCTCCCGGTATATCGGTAAATGCCCGATCTCACCCGGAACCATTCCGATGTCCAAATATAGTCGTCCAATATATCGATCTTTATGTCTCGACTATTTCGAGACTCCTCGTCATGTCTGTGATCATATCCGAGACTCCGAACTACCTTTGGTACATCAAAACACATAAACTCATAATACGATCGTCACCGAACGTTAAGCGTGCGGACCCTACGGGTTCGAGAACTATGTAGACATGACCGAGACACGTCTCCGGTCAATAACCAATAGCGGAACCTGGATGCTCATATTGGTTCCTACATATTCTACGAAGATCTTTATCGGTGAAACTGCATAGCGGTATACGTCGTTCCCTTTGTCATCGGTATGTTACTTGCCCGAGATTTGATTATCGGTATCTCAATACCTAGTTCAATCTCGTTACTGGCAAGTCTCTTTACTCGTTCCATAATGCTACATCCTGTAACTAACTCATTAGCTACATTGCTTGCAAGGCTTATAGTGATGTACACTACCGAGAGGGCCCAGAGATACCTCTCCGACAATCAGAGTGACAAATCCTAATCTCGATCTATGCCAACTCAACAAACACTATCGTAGACACCTGTAGAGCACATTTATAATCACCCTGTTACGTTGTGATGTTTGGTAGCACAAAGTGTTCCTCCGGTATTCGGGAGTTGCATGATCTCATAGTCAGAGGAACATGTATAAGTTATGAAGAAAGCAATAGCAACAAACTAAACGATCATCGTGCTAAGCTAACGGATGGGTCAAGTCAATCACATCATTCTCTAATGATGTGATCTTGTTAATCAAATGACAACTCATGTCTATGGTTAGGAAACATAACCATCATTGATCTCATCATTCATCTCCCCGGTGACTTTAGTAGGAATGGCCTTTTTTGGTGAGAGGACTCCTACATTATTTTTAGGTGCTCTTTTGTGTTCGTTTAGAGTTTGTGTTCTATTTAAGAAAACGAGACGACGGAGGCTCTCTGAAGTTGAAATAAGGTTCTTCCGCCTAAGGCCCGTTCTGGTGGTGCGTCTAGCATCATCAGAGGGCGTGTGGAGATTTGTTCCCGACGGATCTCGCGGGATTCGGTCAGCGTTTGTCTTTGGTGGATCCACTTGGATCTGGTCTTCGTTCATACGTGTTCGTATCTCTTCAGGTCAAATCCTTTCGGTCTACGTTTCTCTTCGTCGGCGGCAGCTGTTGTTCTGGTGCGTTGATCCTCTTGGGCCTTAGCACGATGACTTCCCGACTGTTTACTACTACAAGGTTTGTCCGGCTCCTATGATGGAGGGACGATGATGGCGACGCGCCTTCGGCTTGCTCCAGTGATTGTAGTCGTCGCTATGTGGTCTATGGATCTGGATCTAATTTTCACTTTTAGTGTTCTTTGTACTACCTTGACAGTTGATGAATACTCCCTCCGTTTCTAAATATTCGTCTTTTTAGAGATTTCAAATGGATTACCACATACGGATATATATATATATATTTTAGAGCGTAGATTCACTTATTTTGTTCCATATATAGTCACTTGTTGAAATTCCTAGAATGATAAATATTTAGGAACGGATGGAGTAGATCGCAAATTTTTATTGTAAAAAAAAAGTTACTCTCACTAAGTTACTCCCACTATTACTAGCGGAGGCGTGTCACTGATTGGAATTCACCGAGCTAACGTGATGAGTTTCGGTGATCAGATTCGTTTCCAAGCGGCGGATGTTGCCAGTCGTCCTGCCGTGACACGTCTGGATAAGAGGCATGACACGTGTGGTAGAGCAGTTGAGACCGGCAGAAAATCTCCAACACCTCTCTAGACAGTTCCGGCCAAAACTATGCCAGCAGTTGATCCGCTCTGCTCTGCTCTGCCGCCGTTGCCGCCGCTAGTCCGAGTACGAGCACTGAGATGATCCCGACGACGCGGCTGCTCAGCTGCTGCTACTTGCTGTCGTTCATCTTCATCGCCGTCGCCCCGCGTGCGATCGATTCCAAGCTGGTGACCAGCCTCCCCGGCTTCGACGGCCGCCTCCCCTTCCGCCTCCACACTGGGTGTGTGTGTACCCTCATCCCCATCTCAATCTCCATGAGCCAAGTCTACTTCCTCCGTTGGATTCTTAAGTCGACATGTCCATGAATGAATTGAATCGCAAGGTACGTGGAGGTGGACCAGGGCACGGAGCTCTTCTACTACTTCGTCGAGTCGGAGGCCGGCGGCGAGGGGGTACCTTTCCTTCTCTGGCTCACCGGCGGCGACCGCTGCTCCGCCTTCAGCGGCCTCGCCTACGAGATCGGTCTCTCTTTTCATTCAATCAACTAGAATTGCTGACTGCTGGGTCGTCTCTCCGTCTGCAGCATGATCACATCATTCATGTATAGTGCAGGTCCCGTCAGGTTCGTCCTGGAGCCCTACAATGGCAGCTTACCACGCCTGCACATCAACCCAAACTCATGGACAAAGGTCTTCCTAGCCAGCTTCTTCTTCCATCTGAAGCAGCTCGCTGCCTGTAATGTATCTGTACGCATGCTGCTTGCACCCTGACAGTACCAAGGGAATGTGCAGGTGGCACACATCCTGTTCGTCGATTCGCCGGTCGGTGCTGGATTTTCCTTTGCCAAGCAACCCAAGGGGTACGAGGTCGGGGATGTGTCCTCCTCATTGCAGCTCCATGACTTCCTCATCAAGTGGTTCAGCGACCACCCCAAATACCTGAAAAATCCTTTCTATATCGGTGGAGATTCCTATGCCGGAAAACTTGTGCCATATATCGCACACATCATTTCACAAGGTACATATATATACCCTACGCCCTGTTTGGCAACTCCATCTGCGTCAATCTGTGTGCAAACTAGTATCATCAACTGTTTCAATTCACTATAAGCTCTATCTCAAGTTCTGAACTGCATATGAATTCATGCTCACTAGCTTCCCTCTTCAGGTATTGAAGCAGGAAATAGTCCCCGCATTAATCTTAAGGTACCATAATGACATAATCATTACTACTTAGTTGTTTTAGCGATAACAGTAAGTATCATAAATCATTATCATATATGTATGTTTGTTGATTTCAGGGATATCTAGTAGGCAACCCATCGACTGGTGAAAGCATCGATATAAGCTCTAAAGTGCCATATGCTCACGGAGTTGGTATAATATCAGATCAGTTGTATGAGGTAAACTAAACTCGAGCCTAATATCAGCCATGTATATACTCCATTTTATCGCAATCGAAGTGGCCATTAATATTTTCTTTGCTGATAATATATGTAGACCATATTGGGCCATTGCCAAGGACAGGACTACATGTTCCCGACAAATGATTTGTGCGCCCAAGCTCTGGATGATTTCAATCATGTAAGAAGAAGAAAGAAACATCTTATGCTAGAATTGACTTGACCGTTCGCAATGCAACTTTTGCAGCTTTTGTCCGAAGTTCAGCAGGCCCAGATTTTGCTGGACACCTGCGTTTTTGCGTCCACTCCAGCCCGGCCAGAAGCTGATAGTGGGACCGAGTACTCGGGTGGCGCTGGTAGGAGGATCCTAGTTGGAAATCCGCCACCTCGCCCTCCATTTGGATGTGTTGTAAGTAGTAATGTCTCCATTCCTCATGTAGTACAATGCGAGTTAGATAGTTTCCATCGCTTTTAACAATTTATTACTCCCTCTGTCCCATAATATAAGAACGTTTTTGACAGTATGCTAGTGCCAAAAACGTTCTTATATTTTGGGACGGAGGGAGTAGTACTTAGCCAAGAAAAATGCAACTTATAGCCAATATTGTGTAGACTTATGGGTACTACCTACCGTATTTTTCCATCACTTTGACAACTTACAAGTACATACCCGAGAATAAAAGTAACTTATTAGTGCTATGTATACCAATATTGTGGCAGACTTATGGGTACTACCTATCGTATTTCTGGGCAAACGCGGAGGTGACACGAAATGCTCTTGGGATCAAGGAGGGGAGCGTGGAGGAGTGGGTGAGGTGCCACAACGGCGATCTGCCCTACACAATCGACCTCAGGAGCAGCATTGAGTACCACCGGAACGTCACGGCCAATGGTGGCTACCGTGCGCTTGTATACAGCGGCGACCATGACGCATTGGTGCCGCACCTGGGGACACAGGCGTGGATCAGGTCACTTGGCTTCCCCGTGGCACACCATTGGAGGGCGTGGCATCTCCATGGCCAGTCTGCTGGGTACCACACCATCGTTGCCTCGCTACTACTACTTCTTACTTCACGCTGACTGTATTCTGCTTATTGTTGTTGATGCATGTATTTCTTGCAGGTTCACCTTAACTTACTCCAACAACATGACATTCACAACCATTAAGGTAACACTTGCGTTCTTTTTTTTGCCTGGATACACAAACTGGTTCTGATCAAGTTCGATTCGGTTGCTGCAGGGCGGCGGGCACACCGCGCCGGAGTACGAGCCCGAGAGGTGCTTCGCCATGTTCAGCCGATGGATACTCGGCGAACCACTCTAGTACTCCTAACAGCAACAACCAAGTAGAGAAGGGGGCAAGCCTCACGATTTCAAGTATTGGGTACCTCTCCACTCCACTAATCAATGGTTTCGCCTACATATGAACTATACTGCCTGGCAGTGTAGTTCGTACTAGAACATATAGGCGTCTGATGCCGCGTCCGTCTATATTGGAGAAAAACACTTAACATATTTTAGAAAGAAAATACGGATACTACAAATATCTTGTTAAGTATGGTATAGATATATGCGACAAGGAAAATTCTAGGAAGATACAATAAATCTGCATTTTGGTGCAGCAGACAAAGATTTTACAAATGCAAGGTTCAGAGGGATCACACTGATGCTATTGCTATACAAATTGTCGTCATGTTTACATACGCTACTGTTCAGAACTAAAGATACAGTGATCTCACATTAAATTAACACATGGCTATGGCTGTTGCTTTTCCAATTTCAATTAAATTGGCATATGGTTATGGCCATTGCTTTTCCAATTTCAGTGCCGCCTCCTTGCACGCCATATTTAAATTGACACACGCGACTTTAGGTCGCGTTAACGAGGCCCCACGGCTTTCTTATTCAGATGAAAGAGCATTTTGTCTGTCAATTTACTAAGTGCTTGGCTTGAGGTCCTGAGCTGGAGCTACATGGTCTTTTCAAATTGCTCCTTTATAGCGCGGTTCCAGGAAATAAAAGGTACAAATAGGAGTAAGTTTCCAGAACATTTATGTAATGTTTTTGTTGTAATTGTTTCAAATATTTACACAAAGTAGGTTACTGTTGGACTTGAATTTGAACCGAGTGTAGAGAGCATAGATGAAATTCCTATGTTCACCATTTCGTATGGATCGAACACCCAATCATACAAAATTCCTATGTTTCCACAACCTCATGTTTTGCGCATAAAATCCTATGAAGTTTTGGACATACAATCCTGTTATGTTCCTGTGTTTCTATCCCTACTTTTCGGAATCCTACAAATCAAAGAAGCCTTTATTCTTGTCCATCCATCAGCCCAAAGCAGGTGTGCACTCCGATTCATTGGAGATATTAGTGTCCCTCAAAAGACTTTTAATATAATTTTTTAGAGGATTAGAATCCCTGGGAACTTCTCCTATTCAACAATTTGATTTGATTTGTAGGATTGAGTTAAAATTTGCGAACGATTCATTTGTGCTACAATCAGTAGGACATTAAGCAAAAACAAAAACTGGAACAGTTGAACCCATTATCAGTGATGCAGGCCTGCGCAGCGAGACACCGGCGCCGATCGAGCGGTTGAGTGTTAATCTATCGCTACGGACGCGAACAGCTGACAAGGTCCAAATTGGTCAGAACCGCTCTGTGAAGCAGTCCTTCCAGAAAGACAAGCAAATCCGGCCGGCAAAATCATAAGTATTACAGACAGACAGGACAATGCACGCTAAACAAGTTAAGAGGACGAATTGTAATACTGTATGACCAACAAAGACGGAAATACGACGGCACGCAGCAGATGAGTGACCGAGTATAAACGGAAGATCGAATAAGTATATAAAGAAGTGATCAAGCATCACCAGCCATCAGCATCAGGCTAAGCGAGCAGATAATCGCTTCGCTGCTTATTCAAACGGAGAAGTTGTGTGACACGGAGGAAGTGCATTGATCATAATACTACTACAGGCTAAAGAGATGGTATCATAGTAGGTCGACACTCACATGTCAAAGTGCATTCTGACTGGGCATCAACACAATCCATAGTTCCATACTCCACAAACATGGTATATATGTTGGTCCTACTACCAAAATGGCTCCCAAGTTCTCAGGCCCATGTTTTTTTTCTTTCTACTGTATTTGGAGAAAATTCACCACTGATATGTGCCTCACTATCTTGTGCTGATCCATAGATAGAAGAAAAAAAAGGTAAGCACACTGGTCATGCATGACACTCCTACCACTATCATGATGGAGAATTAATCTTGCAAACCACTCTCCAATCTACACAACTTTATGGATATGATTTTAAGGTTCTCATATGGTCGGTAAAAGTTCAGTTATCTTAACAAAGTGAATCAAACATGAAGAATGAGGGAACCAAAATAAACCGTTATTGTTGGTTTCATGAAAAGCCCGGTTCCAATTAAGCGTAGTTACAACTTTCTGGTGCCCTCTTACATAAAAACATCTTCACTCAATCCCTAGATAGCGGCTTTTTGCCTTAGGATTTGTCCATTGTCATCCCATTCAGACTAGGTGTAATGAAAATGACAGGGCTCTAATGACACATACAGATCTTGGGAGAAAAACTAGCGCATCCCGGCCCCCGCGCCGCTCCTTCCCCGGGGCAACACGGGCGGCGGCCCCCCGTCCCCCGCAGCCTCCCCCTCTCCCCGACTCTCTCTTCCTCGCCGTCGCCGGTGGCCTCCGGCAGGCAAAGCCTGTGCGGAGCCGGCGGCGGCGGGGCGCGCTCTCTGGCTGCTGTCGCTCGGGAGAAGGGGATCTCGCGGGCGATAGGCAGCTGTCCGGCGCTCGGCCTCGGGGCGGCGTCCTGGCGCGCGGCGGAGGTGGTCTTCGGCGCACGGCGAGGCGTTTGGTCGTGGCGGTGGGCGCGCGGTCGCGGTCATTCGCGCTTGGGCGGTCCCGATCTAGGACCTCACGGGCGGCGGCTGGCGCGGACGGGCGGCCGGCGTTCAGCTTGGCGTCGGCTGCGGCCAGAGGTTGGGGCGCCGGGGCGGCGGCCTCGGTCCGGGCTCCGGCCGTGACCTGGGAGTGGACGGGCGCGTGGTTGGGCCGGCTCTCGGCTCTGGATGTGAGCGCGGGGCACAGATCCTTGGCCGGGCGCGGCGATGACTGCGCGCGGCGGGCGCGGTGGCTGGTGGGGCGCGACGGGCGTGGCATCTCCGGAGCTCGAGGTGTGCTGCGGTGCAGGGCCTGCTCGTCTACCATGCTGCTTCGCTGGAGCTGCTCCGATCTGGATCTGGCCTTGGTGGTTCTGATCTTGCTGCTGCTCCTTGCGATGCGATGGTCGCTGCGGTGGTGGTGGTCACTATGGTGTTGCGGTGGTGGACGGCGGCTACGGCCAGGGGGTGGTGCGTGCCTAGGCGCGGTGGATCGTGGGATCCCGTGGCTAGGGTGAGGTCAGCCTCAGCAGGGGTGGTGATTGGTGGGCGACGGTCGGTGGGGTGGTGCTCTCCGGGAGAAATTCTTGCTCCGGTCTTCATCGGAGCCGGCGACGGCGGCGCCCGCAGGTGTCGTGATCTTTCTTGGAAGCGTCGCCGTGGAGGTGCTCCTCCCCACGGCTTTGGCTCCGGAGGGAAACCTCAGATCCGCTGGATCGGGCGATGGAGGCGTCTTCGCGTCTTTCTCCTCCTTGGGGGCATCGTCTCGGAGCCGGCTACGACCGAGAGACTAGTGGATTGCGGCATCTTCGCCGTGGATGGTGGCATCTTCGCCGCGTGGTTTGCTGAGGCGGGGCGCTGGTTTCTGGTTGGCAACGATGATGGCGTCGAGAGGAGCTCGGGTCGCGGCTTGGACTTCGGTAGTCGGTTCTTCCCGGCGTGTCCGAGGTGCTCTTCCGGTTTGCGGAGGGCACGGTCGGCGCAAGTCCTGCATATCTTCCTTGTGAGGCTCGCCGTCAAAGTCGGAGCTGTCGGTTGCTTGCGCCACGCTTGCGCGTGTGGCCATTTGGTGGCATGTGCCGTCGGGGTTGTGTCCCATGTCGGTGGCCAGGATGGCCGGTGGTGCCCATGTCATGTGGGTTGGGTTGTATCGGTTTTAGTCCGGTTTTCCGTCAATTAACCGGGCAATTCTCTTTTTCTTAATCAATGAAAATGGCAAATATTTTGCCTCGTTTCAAAAAAAAACATACAGATCTTGCAAAATTATAAAGTTTTGAATACCATGTAACCAGGTAAATTTCTGCAACCTAAGGTGAGACATCAAATTGATATTTCTTCAGAAGTTTCGACAGATCAAAGCAATCCTTGAAATAGCATATTCTAAACTTAAAATTGATTCAATTCAATCAAGCAACAAACTGGAAACATGGCATATTTTACTAGCACAGTACAAGAGAGCGTGCATTCATTTCAACAAGCTTTGCTTCCTAGCACGGTGATAAAAAACATAACAAGGATGAATTCTAATGGTTGCAACTTGCTACAAGAATATACCAAATTAAAAACAACAAGATCACAGGTAAATAATAAGATAAACTGCACAATGTTATGACAAAACAGGAACATACTGATTTTGACAACTACTCCCTCTGTAAACTAATATAAGAGCGTTTAGATCACTAAAATATATTAGTTTACGGAGGGAGTACTTCAGAAACATATTCCAACACAATTGAGTATAGAAGCTGAAAGGAATGCATCAGTAATGGTTTACTGTGCACTCTTCCTCAAATTTTACACCTCTCTTTCTCTAACAACAAAGCTAATTGTGCACATTTATTTTGTTGAAACCATTGTGCACATTTGTTAGATAGTTCTCTGTCTAAACTATAGAAGTGCATAACAGGACCAGTCCTGTAACATGAAAATAATAGTGCAGTTTATCTCCCAAACTCCCACAAAAAACTGAATTTTTGTCTAAAAAGACTACCTACCCAGTACAATTGACAGAAAAGACCGTCTCTAGATCAGATTGCCAGAAAAGACCACCTAATTCGTGGCGGCAGGCGCGCCAGCCAACACGTGGCGCCTGCCGCCACACGCGAAGGCGGCAGACCCTGCCGCCACGGTCCCAGGCGGCAAGTGGCCTGTCACAGGAAATCATCGGGAGCGACCAGAACAAGACGGAACGGGATCAGTGGTGGGCCCAGCCGCCACACCAGGAGGCGGCAGTGCTGCTGAGGCCGCGAGTTCGACTGGAGCACGGGCCGTGTATAGCTGCGCTGAGCTGATCACGCCTCGTCGCCTGACCGAAGTGCATGCGCAAGGGAGAGGTGCGTGCAGTGCAGTGCAGCTTTGCCTAGCTGAACAATCCACCAGTGTATTAGTCGCTAGTTGGATTTACCGCTGTAGCTTTTGGGCCTACACTGCCATGCATGCATGTGCTTGCCGTACGTCCTGATTAACCATCGCGGTGCAGCACGTACGTCCTGATTAACCATCGCGGGGCTGCTGCAGTACATGCCGCCTCTGGGCGTGGCGGCATGGCCCGCCGGCCAGCAGTCCATCGCAGTTTCCGTTCCGTTGTGTTCTAGCCGATCCCAACGATTCCTGTGACAGACGACCTGCCGCCTGGGCCTGTGGCGGCAGGTGCTGCCGCCACGGCGCGTGGCGGCAGGCGCCACGTGTGCCGTCACAAACCAGGTGGTCTTTTCTGGCAATTTGACTCAAAGGTAGTCTTTTTTGTCAATTGCACCGCGCAGATGGTCCTTTTGAACAAAAAATCCAAAAAACTGGTCATCTCCACTCCAACCATGCCTAAGAACTCAAAATAATAGTCCTGCACGATTGCTATTCTAAGTGTCAAGACAGTCATCATCAATTCTACACAATTGCTTTTCTAAGTGTCACGACAGGGGAAGAATAAGAGCATCAACAATCATGAACTCCTCAAATTGGTAAAGAGAATAATAACTCGATATCGCAATGCTAACCTCCACTCTTACCACTAAATCAATCAGTAACCATGAGCCAAGAATAATAAGTACTACCTCTGTCAACTTACCACTAAATCAATTTGAACTACCAAAACGTCTTACATAAGTTGACAGAGGGAGTAACAAACACAGTAAAGAAGAAGAGGATTTTGCAGCGGAATGAGAACTTCCTTTATGTTCCATACCACAGATCAGTCTATACTGCGCATTTATTATTAATTACAGATTACAACAGGCAAGCACAATAAACTAGAAACAAGAAATCCTGGCAACGGCATGCTCTTCTTTAGAGCAAGATCCAGCAGGACAGCTAGTATTTGTAAGGAGCAGGCAAGTGAGCAGCTTACGACGAATCTCACAGGTTCTCCATCTGGATATTGCTCTTGAGCGGCACATACTCGCCAAGGTAGCCGCCGAGGTGCTCGTACAGCGCGGTCCTGTCGATCTCCTGGTTGTGGTAGGCCTTGCAGGCGTAGTAGAAGACGCTCTGCGCGAGCAGCCCCAAGAGATTGACACAGACGAGAACAGAGACGAGCAGAGCGCCGACGCCTATCCGGCCGGCCAAGCTCATGTCGAGGCTCCCCTCCTCGCCCCGCGCCTTGACGACGGCCGAACGGAACATCCCCGTGATGAGGCCGCAGATGGCGAAGTAGGAGAAAACGAGGACGGCGGCGGTGCGGGTGCGGCCCTGGAGGAGCTGCCTGCTCTTGGACATGGCGGCGAGGCCGCAGAGGGGCTCGAGCACGGAGATGACGCTGGCGAGGTGCCAGAGCGCGGAGATGTAGACGTGGATGGCGAGGAAGAGGAAGGCGACGGCGAGGAGGGCGAGGAGGAAGGAGAGGGGCGGCGGGGTGGAGGCGGTCATGGGCGGGTCGAAGAGGAGGATGAGGAGGACGACGGTGAGGACGAAGCCGACGTGGTAGGCGAGCATGAGGAGCGAGACCCAGAGGAAGGTGCGGAGGAGGCGGGGCAGGATGGGCGGCAGCGCGGAGAGCGAGGAGGCGATGGAGGCCGGCTTGGCGGCGTAGAGGGAGGCGACGGTGAAGACGGCGGCGGCGGTGGAGAGGAGCGAGAAGGTGAAGAGGAAGATGAGGTAGAGGAACTGGTAGGCGAAGAGGGCGACCCACTGCGCGGAGGTGGCGGTGTAGTCGGAGGTGCGGATGCGGCGGAGGATGGGGTGGGTGAAGAGGGAGTGCGCCAGCACGGCGAAGGAGAGCGGGAAGACGAGGCAGGCGGTG